TGTGGGGGAGGAAGGCCGATGCTGTGGGGGAGGTAGGCCGATGCTGTGGGGGAGGTAGGCCGATGCTGTGGGGGAGGCAGGCCGATGCTGTGGGGGAGGCAGGCCGATGCTGTGGGCCAGTGAAGCTTTATCACATTGCACGGTGCTGCAAAGCTGTCAGGTTTTCAGGCCTTTGGTGCCGGGTGGGGGATGAGACAATGGAGAGAGTCGCTGGAGTGTGATGCTGCTTGTTCATCGTCCATTGAGTGTCAGGTGACACTAGGGTTGCCACCTGTCCAGGATTCACCCGGACAGTTCGGGTTTTGAATGGTGTGTTCGAGTTTCATGGCAGCAGAAACCCGGACACAAGATGTCAGGCAGACAGGGGCAACCAAAATTAAGATAGGGGCTACTGGCCCCGCACTGAAAATAGTCTCTACTGTGATATTTACGTATGAATGGGTGACGCTTTTTACATATGAACACGCCACGACTCATTCTCCCACAAAAATGACCATGCGTTGCTGGATTGTTCGGGTTTCGCTTGAAGAAAAGGTGGCAACCCTAGGTGACACAGGAAGTTTCAAAGCTGCAGCAGGGAAATCGCAGTTACACCTTCCTGTCCATGCGGTGCAGCAGGGGAGCTACTTAACAGATTTACATTGAAACAGATATATACAGGAAGTCCCCGGGTTACATACACAGGGATCTCAAGTCTCCCTGATGTTCAGGGAGTCTCCCTCTTTTGGACAGCAGCTCCCTGATGTCTGCGAGAGAGGCATTTTCTCCCTGAAAGGTTTACTCTGAGTAAAACTTTCCGATAAGATAACAGTGGGTAAAGTTTCAGAGTGAGGCTTGCCTCCTGGAGGAAGGTCATGTGATCTCTAGAGTACTGTATTACTGTACAGCAGGGGGTAGTTGTAATGCTACCGCGCTCGTGCTGACGAGGAGTGCCCGCCTTTTTTGTCTGGATCGTAGTACTGTACATGCATGACAGGAAGTTGGCTCTTGTTAGGGTTAGTTCACACCAGAAACTGCATCACAACTGCGTGCGCCTGCGTTGCATTGCGAGCGGTTTTGATGCGTTTTTTTCCGCTGCATGTCCCTGGATGATGCCACAATCAATTCTGTTTTTTTGTATGCCTTCCGTTGCGTTTGCACTGCGTTTTGTGCAGTTTGATGCAGGTAAAATAGGACAAGCAGTACTTTTTCTGACTGCATCTGAACGGACTGCAATGGTGTGCTACAAGAAAGACCATAGGAAAGCATTGTGATGTATTTTGACTGCAGCAGTCAAAATAAACAGACTGCATTGCAACTGTATATGGTGTGAACTGGCCCTTAGACGTGCAGACGAGGGGTACGCGCATCTTCTTCCAGGTCACTGTGAGGTTTTTACTGCTGTCTGTATCCTCATTTGAAAGCTTTAATCTCACTTCCTGTCCTTGAGACAACAGGAATTGAAATGAAATCTACAACTAGGAAGGGAAATTCACTGCTGTGATCATGGGGTAAAAGGTGTCACCACCGAAGCTTTATCACCAATCCTTGTTTCCATGACAACCCAAAATTTTCTAAATCCAATTGTCACAGGGACAGAAAGTGAGGTGAAATCTTCTGAACAGGGGCACACACAGCAAAACAAACTTTACACGGGTTTAACCCTTCCCTATGCTATCCATATTTGGCTGGAGTTACACTTAACAAATGTACCTGTTCCAACTTACATACATATTCAACTTGAGTACAAACCTGCAGTCCCGATCTTGTTCGCAGCCCGTGGACTGTCTGTAATGTCATTTGAGCGGCTTTGCTTTATACTAATAAAAGTGAAAGGCGCGGGGACACGAGAAGCACGCGTGGGGTTTATTTATTTTTATTTTATTTCTGGTTATACTTTCCATAGTGCGGCATACGTGCGAAGGGCAGGCTGACTCCCACAGACTTCTGTGGTTTTCCTATTAAAACCACTCGCAGTTGGCTTCCAATAACGTCTTTCTCATCGATTTGGTGTTTCGTGAGAGTTTTTGGGTTTCTTTTTTTAACGCATCTGTCCCATAGCTGTGAGCAGGGAGGTCGGCTGCACTGAGGACTTCTATACCACAAAGTTCAATCCTTACATATCTTTAATATAGGCGGGCAGCAGCAAAAGTCAAGTGCATAAGACCCCCCCCCGTAGAAAATTGTAAGGTTTCCAGCCTCTGATCGGGGTCTTTTTCAGGCATGGAGCGGCTCGAAATGTTGCAATTTTATGCAACCCCAAAAAGTTGGGACGCTGTGTAAAATCAACATAAATACAGAATGCAATGATTCACAAATCTCATAAAATCATATTTTATTCACAATAACAAATAGAAAACATCAAATGTTTAAACTGAGAAAATGGACCATTTTAAGAAGAAAAAAAAGGTAATATTGAAATTAACCCCTTGCTGTCCAGGTGTTTAGACCCCCTTCCTGTCCCGGCCATTTTTCAGTATTCAGCGCTGCGGTAGTCAGCGCTGCGGTGGTTATTTTTTACTATATTAAGGAAAAATTACTGAATATGTTGAGAAAAAAAAAGTTTTTTCTTTCATTATGTTAGGAAACAATTATTATTACCCAATGTTTTGGTGAAATATAAAAGACGGGGTCACGTCGGGTAAATAGACACCAAACATGTCAAGCTTTAAAATTGTGCGCACCCGCGAAATCGCAGAAAAATACCATTCCTAAAATTGGCCATAGGCAACGCTTTAAAAGCTTTGACCGCTCATTAGTTTAGTGTTAGCAGTGATTAATGGCCCGAGAATAATTGCTCTCACTGCGATGTTCGCGGCGATATGTAACATGTGCAGGGTAATGGGCGCAATCGTCATTTTCGCACGCATATTCACCCAACGCGTGTTTGCATGCATGTATGTATGGGTGGGGACTTTAAAAAAAAAAATTACATTCTTTTTCATGTGCGGCTTTATTTTATTTTCTTTATTATTATTATTGTTTTTCACTTTATTGTTATCACATAGGATGCTAAGAAACCCCCCTATGTGACACCAAAGAGATGTGACAGGTCCTCTTTATGGATACATCAGGGGTCTCCAAGACCCCTAATGTCACCTAGGGACCACCAAAGAAGCTGATGAAGCAGAGATCTGCTCCAACAGCTTCTCTCCACCGTCTGAAGCTGGAGAGTGAGGGCAGAATGCGGAACTGATGTCATATACAACACTTCTGCATTCTGACACCAGAGAGGGGACCGGAGGGAGATAGTGTACTGATCTCCCTCTGATCCCCTGTCACAGAGCCACCATTCTGGTCCTGGGCTCGCACTGGGCACCGCGGAGACAGGGACCGACGGGACGGGGGCACGCACGATCGGCACCTGATATAAGCGATCCGCTGTATAAAGTGTCGGTGATACAGACTCTATAGCTGGCGGATCGCTTGTATGTAAACAGGCATCGCTGCCTGTTTTTAAATTTTGGTCGTTTCCCGCTCGCGTGCGGTATGCGCGAGTGGGCGGGGCTGACAGGCCTGTTACATCCGGGAAGCTCCCGGTCGGTCGTTTCTTTCACAATGGCTAGCCGGGAGGCGGTTAATGGCAGCAACCTGTCTCACAAAAATTGGGACAGGGCCATGTTTACCCCGGTGTAGCATCCCCTCTTCTTGTAACAACACTCTGTAAACGTCTGGGAACTGAGAAGACCAGTTGCCGGATTTTTTGGAAGAGGAATGTTGTCCTATCCTTGCCTGATATAGGATTCTAACTGCTCAGCAGTCCCGGGTCTTTGTCGTATTTTTTGTTTCAAAATGTGCCAAATATTTACACTTGGTGAAAGCAGTGGCGGAACTACCGCCGGTGCAGGCGGTGCGGACGCACCAGGGCCTTGGGGCTCTAGGGGGCCCAGCGCCGGATCGGTACCCAGCAGCCAGCGGGCCCCCCATCTCTGCGCCGAGAGTGTGCGAGTCTGCGAGAGGGAGGTAATGTATACAGAGAAGGCACCTCTCTATAAGGTGAAAGGTTTGGACTGCAGGCTGGCTAGTTAAGCACCCGGACTTTTCTACTATGAAGCCATGCTGTTGTCATAGATGCAGTATGTGGTTTAATATTGTCCTGCTGAAATAGGAAAGGCCTTCCCCGAAAAGATGTCGTCTGGATGGGAGCCTATGCTGCTCTAAAACCTGGTTATATCTCTCAGCATTGATGGTGCCTTTCCAGATGTGCAAGCTGCCCATTCCATATGCACTAATGTACCCCATACCATCAGGGATGCAGGCTTTTTAACTGAGTGCTGATAACAAGCCGGAAGGTCCCTCTCCTCTTTAGTCCGGAGGATGCAGCGCCCATGGTTGCCATAAAGAATGTCAAATTTCGATTTGTCTGACCACAGAACAGTTTTCTACTTTGCGACAGACCATGTTAAATGAGCTTTGGCCCAGAGAAGACGGCGGCGTTTCTGGATCATGTTCAGATATGGTTCTTTCTTTACATGAGGAGCCTAATCCTTCAATCAGAGCATTCTCTCTTGCAGTAGGGGCCCCCCTTTAACATCAGCAGCCCCCCTTTCACATTAGAGCCCCCTTTTCATTTCGGAGTCCCCCCACATCAGTGGTTTCCCTTCACATCAGAAGCTTGGGAAGGCATAATGCTGTGTGAATAAATACGAGGCACCCCTGAGGAAGGCAGAATGCACCCCAATGTTGAGAGGCTGATCTAGCGGATGAAGCTGCTCATGTTAGAAGGGAGGGAAGGGTTTCAGGTTTTGTATATTTACGTATGCCTCTAGTCAGCTAAGGATGAGAGATGGAGAAGAAGCCACAAATGACAGTCGGATGTTTGTAGTATGCTGCACCTTGGAGACTGGTAGAGCCAAGGGGGACCCCAGAACCAGTGTCTGTTTTCACACAGAGAGAGTTGTTGTTTCTTTGAAATTGTGTCCATGGGGTGGGGGGCGCTTTTGGTATAAATAGTGATTATTGGAGTCCTTTCATTTAACGCGCCTTATGTCTCTCTCACTTGCAGTGGGGTTGTGATCTACAGACGGAGCATGAGAAATATCTGGTCAGACATTGTGGGGACGTCCCGGTATTCGTCATCAACTATCCGTATGACCTGAAACCTTTCTACACCCGTGACAATGAGGACGGGCCTCAGCGCACTGTAAGTGAAGTATTAATGTGATTGGATATGATTGGTAACATGAATGATGAGATTAATTTGGTTTAATTGGACACTTTTTTCCATTAATTTTTGTTTTTTCCTGTGCAATGGAGAGAAAGATGCTTTAGAGGAGAACTATGAGGCGAGTGATTTTCACTCAGCCTCATAATCTGACTCGACATGTGCAATGAAACTGTTACAGGTTGGCTCAGTAGATCGGGAAGTGAGCGAACACATACCGGCGCTCGCTCACTTCTCAATCTATCCCTGCAGAGAGTAGTCTACTTATATTTTGCCTTCCCTGGTTTCTCCTTCTTTCCTCGTCAACATGCTAATCACAATATTAACCACTTCAGGACCACCGTACGTATATTAATGACATGGTCCTGAAGTGGTTATACCAAAATCACAGCTGCAGCAGCCATGATCCTGGCACCCTACTCTTTAGCATCCTCACGTCTAATGCAAGTCAGTGGACCTGCTTAAGACGTGATGACACCAGCGGTCCCTAGACTGCTGGAGCCCGAGAGAGAAGAGGCTTTGGGAACCAGTCTAGCAGCCCAGCAGGACGAAGATCAGGCGAGCATTCACTATATTGCCAAAAGTATTGGGAACCCCTCCAAATCATTGGATATAGATGTTCCGTGAAGTTTCCTTGCTACTAAATATTCCGCGGTCACCTGTTGCTGGTATTATAACAATGTGGAAGCAACTGAGAACAACAGCAACTCAGCCATGAAGTGGTAGGCCACGTAACATGACAGAGCGGGGTCAGCGCATGCTGAAGCGCACAGTGCTCTGAAGTCGCCAACTGTCTGCAGAGCCAATAGCTACAGACCTCCAAACTCCATGTGGCCTTCAGATTGGCACAACCACAGTGCGTAGGGAGCTTCATGGGATGGGTTTCCATGGCCGAGCAGCTGCCTCCAAGCCGCACATCACCAAGTGCAATGCAAAGCGTGGGATGGAGTGGTGTAAAGCACGCCGCCACTGGACTCTAGAGAAGTGGAGACGTGTTCTCTGGAGTGACCAATCACGCTTCTCTGTCTGGCAATCCGATGGACGTGTCTGGGTTTGGTGGTTGTCAGGAGAACGGTACTTGCCTGACTGCATTGTGCCAAGTGTAAAGTTTGATGACCTCACAAATGGTTCAACATTCCCATAGACACACTCCTAAACCTTGTGGACGCCTTCCCAGAAGAGTTGAAGCTGTTATAGCGGCAAAGGGCGGAGCCAACTCAATACTGAACCCTACGGACTAAGACTGGGATGCCATTAAAGTTCATGTTTTAAAGCCGGCGTCCCAATACGTTTGGTAATATAGTTTGTTCTATATTTGACCCCCCCTAGACAAAACAAGCATTTAACCTTATAGTATGGGGGGTAGCTACACAGCAATGGTAAATTTGTTTTATTTAATTTTCTAAATCCCGGAGTTCCTCTTTAATCCTGCCAGCATCTAAACCCTAATGAAGGGGGAGTGTTGAGCCCCCCCCCCCCCCCCC